TAATATATGAATATTATGAACCCATAAGTTTAGTAATCTGTAAACCATTAGGTTATTACAGTAATTAGGTACCTACTATGCTTAAATTAAATTCATAAATTCTGTCATTCAAATCATATACGACGTCGTTAGACAACATTGAATTATTTTCAATAGTATTAAAATATAAGATGAGATAATGTATTAGAGTTATACATCATATGATACTGTAAATTATAATTTCAATAAATATTTAATTATACATGATGATATATAAATATTACTGTAGCAGTTCTTAGTGTCGTTAATGTTTCAAATTTCGAGCTCAACTAATGAAAATATCAATATTTAGCCAAATTAGAAGCATGAAATGGTTTAAAATCATGAAAACAAAAAAATATAATTTTATTTTTTATTTAAAAATTAAGTAATAAAAATATTTATATTAAATGTATTCATTAACATATTGATTTATTTAATTTGTATACAAATAAATTTTATTTGTGACCATAAATTGTTACAATTGGCTATTTATTACCGTAAAAGCACTAGAAGCTAAGTCCGTAAAATATTTACATAGATAATGTTATATTTTATATTTTATTTTATTATTGTACACGTAATAGTCATGACATTTTTACATCGATAATATATATAATATATATAATAATATATACATGTGACATTTAATTCAATAAATACATATTATACATTAATTAATCATTGTCTATGATCACTATTACCTACTATAAATTTAAGTTATCAATTATAAAAAATTGTCTAAATGTTGTTTCAATTATTAATTATTATATATAAATTAAATATGTTCTGTACATTTTTACAGTACCTACATTTTTTAATTATTATTATTTGTTTAGATCATAATATGATCATGTTTGTGTATAGATTGATTTTTACATAGACACTGCAAATTTCCACGATTAAATAACATGAAGAATTACGGTATTATAGTATTTATTTAATAGTTATTATGTATAACAATCAACTTCCTATAAGTATTATATTTAAAAAAAAAAAATTATTAAAATGGGTATATCAAACTATCGTACGAAAAGTACTTCAGGTTACTTATAAGTTATAACGTAAAATAAGCTACACATTTACTAAAAAAAAAACTATTTAATAGTAATGAAATTATTATTTAACCTGTATTTTAAAAAGTAGTTTGGTTAGAAATATAAATCAAGTTGTAGTGTACAATAATTTGTATGCTTTATTTATTCGTTAATATTTTTAACCAAACAGGAGCTTAAATTAATAAATAGCTTGCGACTCGATAGTTAGGAGTCACGTACCTTCTGCTATATAGTAGCAAGTCATACAACGGCGACAACGGTCAACTGCATTGATACGAAATGTTTCGAACGACCGTCCGTGAAATAATAATGTACCGCTCCCACGATTATGAAGCGCGGATCTTGTCGCGTAAAAGATGGGCGTGGTTACGGTCTGTCGGGACGGCGGCGATGCAGCGCACAACGCCATCTCTTGAGCGTTGTATATTTTTCACTTTTACCAGAACGGCCTCTTAATCGTCCGACAATTATAGGAATATCATAATATCCGAATATGGAATCAATTATAATGAATTATATTATATGACTTATGACCAATTAGTTATACATTTTTTCAGGAAATTTCCTATAATTTAAAAACATAAAATTCATGGTATTTCTCTAAAATAATAATAGTTGGATATAAAAAAACAAAGGGCTTAATTTTAATTTGGGATTGCGAAAGACCTTTTTGCACCCACCTATTTGCGCCACTGAACGTACCCCAGTTACAATCAACTCCAAAATGGAACAAGTTTTTATTCGTATAAGAGCGGAAAATCGCTTCTCTGCCGAAACTATTTATATTAACTACCTATGTAGATAAACTAACTGTAGAACTAGCTAAAATCTTTAAAAGTGAATGTATTTTTGGAAACGTATCTTTATCACAAAGTTCTAATGATTTTAAAGCTGTATCAGAAATATCATTTTTTTCTTATTCCAAAATTATTTGCACCAAATTATTTGCCCTTGAAACTTTTTAATAAAAGCTTCTCTGTTTGCGAATCTGTTATTTAATCCATCTATACTGATTTCAATTAGATTTAAATATTTGTATTATGTTTGCTTGTATTTTAGAAATTAATATTTTTGACGTAAAAATTCCAAGATTATACACACCCGTATAATTTGAAAATAAGTACACCAAACTATATCAAATCAGGACTCTCTTAATCACAAATATATACCTCCCCTTTTGTACAATACGAGAACAGACAATATGGTCACGGCTGAGGATCGGATATAAAAACATAACCCAAGTCAACCTTACGAAGAAAGAATTCTTGCAGTGCAAGAAAAGTGCAAATTCTGCAACATCTCTTTAATTTCCACAAAACACCTCCTTCTTGAATGCTCATGTCAAGCAAACGAGAGGAAAATCTTCCTATTACCAACAAACCTAGATGATATTTTATCAATAAACAACTTAAATTTATTATTGTACTTCCTTAAAAAAACCAACCTGTACCACCGAACTTAAGCATTTACAAAGGCTAATAACTTTAATTTTGAAGCCTTAATAAATAATAATAAAAAAAATTACCTTTACCTATTAAGTATCTAATAAATATTTATTTATGGTTTTAATTGAAGCATCAATACTATACAGCATGTCCCATAACACCCTTAATATCTCCACGGGAAATCAATATATTTAAACGCGTTTTTTTTTACAATACTTAGTATGGAAATTCTGATTGAATGGCATAAAATTCAATTTTTTTTAAAAGAATTTTCAATTTTTAAGATTTTAGATAAGAGAAATCCTCCATAATATAAAATAAATGTTAATGTTTTCATGTATAATAATGAATAAACTTAAAAATACATATTACATGATCATTTTGTGTTTTTTGTTACAAGATATATATTTATCATTCAGTTTCAGCATGTACGTATCCAGAGCCAAGGTCTGGGAGAGGCCAACTGTTTAAACTATAATAAATCATGTATATACACTCATATAATATAAATTATATATATATATATATGTAGATAGGTATATATTTATATTAATATATTAATCCCATTATATTATAATATGCCCATCATTTAATGATAATAATAATCATCGAAAAATACCTTATTGCTTATTATAGAGTACCAAGAAGATATTATATAACAAAATCAATACGTCTATTAGTACCTTTTTTAGTAAAGCGGTAAATTATTAAGTTAACATTTAATTTCTTTTCAGGATGAACATTTAATATACATAATGAAGTAAGACAGTTTTCTTGCATCATTGAACAGTCAGGTTTTTAACTGTCTTAAATGGAAAAATTTCTTTCAGCAGTTGCTACACTTACTGATAATGTACAAAGTATGGTGTGAAGCTTAAATATTGTGGGAAATATAGGTTCATTGCATTTACTTAGTGCATTTAAAGCTGTTGATGGTAATTGATCCATACCATATAAAATACTATTACTCTTCCATTGTTTTATCCAGAGCTCAAGTTCACTTAAAAATATTATTTTAAATTAGTTTTTAATAAAATTTAGTTTGAAATTTTTGTTTATTCATTTTTTTTTTTTTATTAAATATTAATATAATATAATATCTTAAAAGATGGTTTTTATTTATTTTTCAGTTTTATTATTATAATCAAATAATTATCATTTGATATATGTATTAAAATTTACAATTAAATGTTTGAAATCATCTCAAATAAGGTACATTCAGGATGGATAGTTAAAAATACAAAATAAAAGATTATTTTTGAACTTTTGTTGAGACAATGGGACGTTTCATCCAAATATGGGATAATCTCATAATATACAGGACATATGGGATCTCTAAATTGACAACATGGAATGCATATGAAGGAATACAACAAGAGCACGATTCAATTATAATATTTTCTTACATTTTTTTTTTATTTCATGTAAATAGTGTCTTACCAAATCAATAAAATAAAAACGTATTAAAATATAAGTAATAAATATTTATACTTACTTAATACAGAGTTCAGGTAATTGTATACATTTTTTTTAGACTTGTGAAAAAATATATCAAGGCAAAAGTATTCAATATTAGAACCATGTATTTGAAATACTTAATTAAATATTGATGCGTTAAAAAATAATCAGTAATGACATTTAAATATTTGACATCACTGAATATATTATATTAAAAAAAATTAAAAATATTTGGGAATGAAATTAAATATTTAAATTAGGATAAAAATATAATTTAATAGGTACAATACATTTCAATGTAATTTGTTTACATTTTTTAGTATCAAATAGAAAGTTACAAAATTATCAAGATATCAATCATATCTTACACTTGTAAAACAATAATAACAATAATAAACTATAATAAAGTAAACATATATATGTATATAATTTTTTTAAGACTTAGTAGAAACATTTTAATATTTTTAAAAAGGTAACATTGTTGGCTTTAGGTATAAACGGAAGACATATTTTCCTAATAAAAACTTATTTAAAACTATTTTTATAAAATTCACATAATTTAACTCAAAAAGAATACAAAACAAAATATATTACTCAATAATAAAAATAAAACATTTACTGACTTAATAACAAGCATGAATTCAAAGCACTCATTGGACCCTTTGTTCAATGTAATAATACTGACATAGTATATTTAAGTCAATTAACTACATTAAATTAATGGGAAGTCTTTTTATTTTAAGATACTTATCATTTATCACAGTTCAAGCAAAATGTAATTATAAAAAAAAAAATATTTGACTATACTCAAAATATTGTGATGTTAAGAAAGTAGTGTATTACTTTTAATAATTAAATAGCTAAAACTCAGTAAAGCCTCCACCTACTTTTAATACTAATACAAAGCAAAAATGTACAGTGTGTTTATTTAAAAACAGAACATCTAATATTTTATTAATATATATAATTAATGATTAAAGAACATTTTTACTCTGTATTAAAAATATAAAATAATATATTTAATTCTTTCATTAAAAAATAATATAAATGTGCAGCAATTTGTAGTTGAATAAAAAATAATAATACCTATAAATCAACTCCCAATGAAGATCCCAAAAGACTCTTCAGCCAGATTCTTGAATCATATGGAGGCTGTTCACCACCTAGTTCTGAAGGTAGAATATCTTTTGGAAAGTATTCATGTAGTGTGTTCAAATTCAGACCATGCATAATTATCTATTAAAAAAAAAAATTATTTATTCTCATTATATGAGAAAATAAAATAAAATAAAATAAAACATACCTTATTTTTTGTTTTTTCTTTTAAAAATGGTTTAATAACAGACATGAGACCATCAATATACCATGGTTGGTTAATAAAATGAACAGCTTTTATTTTTGCTGGAAAACAGTCTTGCAACCCTTGAAGCATTACATGTAACAATCTCGGACTGATATTCATTGCCTGACGAGCAGTGAAGTTGGTCCAATCAACAATGAATACAAAACCATTATACTGATTATTTACTTCTTTGATCAAATGTTCCAGAGATACTAGTAATGCACGGTATATAGTTAATAAACAATAACGTTCAGTATTCCATTGAGAGCAAACCATAAAAAGAACACGACGGCTCCGACTAAGCAAAAAAAAATAAGAAGTATTGGATACATTTAATGATAATATGATAATTACTCATTATTAATTCATAAACAAATAATAAAACTAACCGATCCAAATTTGGCAATACAGAAGGGAAACCATCTTGAATAGCCATTTGTATTTTTGGATCATAAGGTTCCAACCGACAAAACCATAAATTGTGTTCCTTTCTGAATTGATAATAATTTTGTATCAAAATTAATGCTTGATTTTCATTCATTTTTCGTGCATATAAGAACATGGTTATAAATGCTTCTTTGTCTTTTTCTGTAAACAATTTAATAAACTATTACTTATTTTAAAGAACAAGGTTAGGCAGTCATCATAAAAGGTATAAAAGAAATAAAAAACATTTAAAATATTTATAATGTATAGAACCTGTAAGTTTTTTGAATATTTCAGTAATGTATACCTACGCTTAAAGAAATAATAGAAGGTACAGTAAAATCAAATAATTTAATAGGTTTAGAATGTTTAACTCATGTTAAGAATGAATACATTAATAGTTTTTATGAATCTTAATTATTATATTATATAAACTATCTGAAAATTCATTAATTACAATAAAATATGAATAGTATAAATATACATAAAAAATAGCTTTCAAAAACTAAATATATTAAGTTCTATATCATATACATTATTATTACTATAGTTATTCTTACAATAAGTGTGCAATATACAAAACACATATTCAAATACAGGAAATATTTAAATCCACATAAATAAATACATAGATAATATTGAATAAAATGTCATTTTTAGTTTTATGGACAATTTTAAGAAAATAATACAAGAAATTATTATAAAATATAAAATGTTTATACTTGTATAAAGGGTTACCAGATTATGAAATCCCTAAACCAGGACATTATATTGAATGAAAATAAATATATAATTTTTTAATATAAATATTTATTAGCCAATACAAAATTACACTATTATTGCATATAATCATGCTGATTAGATAATCATAATATAATGATATAATGTACAATATTATTCTATATTTTATTATTAAATAATAATAATAATAATAAAAACTACACAATGATACGAGCCTACCATATTTATCTGCATAGATAATACAACAATTTAAAAATTTCCACGAAAAACTTCATAAAACTGAGGGAACACTCCATTAAAATCGGCAGAAAATCCGTCAACCTAAGATTAAAACCATGGCTACCACAGGATATTTTATTTAAACCCAAAGAAGACACCTGAAATTCAGACATAGATCTAGACTTATAAGCTTAACAAACATTTGTAAATATTATTATAAACATATTAATTGTATATTGTAAATTGAAATGATATTGTAAAAATACTTGGTATATTGACACAATTAAATTAATAAATTAATAAAAAAAAAATAAAAATTATTAAATAATACAATATTAAATGTTATTTTTCTCATCTATTATTAATAAATGATTGACCAGGATACCAGATCATGCCTTTTAGATCGGGACTGTCCCAGTCAAACCGGGACGAATGGCAAGCTCATATATAGTAATATAATAATTTTCAGTTCTTCTACTAATTAACAATATTAATTTAGCAAATAATATATTATTCTTAATTTGATCTAGAAGGTCAATACCAAAAAAAGAAATATTGAAACAATAAAGCACTTTGTAATAATTAAACAACTGTTTTTGTAATTGCACTAATTAATTTCAATAAATCTTTTATTTTAAGTTTAAAAACCATTTTATAAAAACATATTATGTTTTTAATGCAAGTATATAATTTAACTTGAAATAAAATGTTTCTATTAAAAAAATGCTAACATAATTACATATTTCAACAATATACCATATGGGCACTCTAGCCTAAATAATGAGTTGTAAAAATATAAGTACTTTTCAATAACAGCAAGTACAACCTACGCAGTATAATACTTTACCAGCTAAAAAGGCAAATCCATGAGTCATGAGCAACTTTTTTAGTTTTGACAAAGCTTCGGCTTGTGTATTTTTCTTAGTTGGGTTGTGACAGGGACGTGGGAATAAGTCAACACCACAGTTTTTGTGCAATATGTTATCCATGTTATGTTGTTGATACTCAGCATATTCAGCCATTTTAATTCACTAGGAAAAATTAAAAAAAAAATAAAATTATAACATTACTTAAATGTTAATTAACAAAATAAAATGTTGTAAAAATCGTAGTAAAGCAAAAGATTTTATTTTTTATTTTTTGTAAAATGGTTTTTTAATAATTGAACGTTACAATTGATTTACGATGACAAAAAACCCTAGAAACAGGAGATAATTAATTATATGCGTGGGTAAATATTATATGAAACATAATAATTATTATCAAAGCTGACCTCATTCGGTGCGTTATTAGCGAATATACACAAATCATAAAAACGCTATTGAAACAAGAACTAGAACTAGAAGGCGAGCAATGGCATGCGCACCATTTTACACACCACACCACCGTCGCGCGCGAAAACAACAGGCAACAATGTACACAGACGACGCAACAGTAACTCACCGGATGGGTATGGAACAATGGATGCAGCATAAGTGTGTTGCGATAAAGAATGATACTGTGTGTTTTGCTAATAACGGGCTATACAAGTCACAGAGGTTCGCGAATTTGACGACGTGTTTGGTCACAAAAAGATGTCTTCACGTTTTTCGTTAATTTCCTGCTGAAGACATCACATAATGTGAGCTGTGTTCTCAAGCGGCACGATGAGAACTTGAAAAAAGATTAAAAAAATTGATTATTTACATTCGTAAACGATGGGAAGAATGAAATCGAAAATAATTAAAGAAATTACGTTCTATTGTATTATGGACAGTAACGAACAAACGACAATTTGTTATCAGAACTGATAACTGTTGCTGCTACTGTCAACGATTAGCAGCCACGACTCCTGTAATCCGCTATCGTATTAAAATTGACATGATTATTACTATATTATTATTATTAATATTATTGTAATGCTCTGTATCAAAAGTGGTTATTAAGTCTCAAGAGCAGATTAATTCTTATTGAAACTATTATTATTTTTGGGATATCTAAAACTAGCTTTACATGGTACTAACGACTACGAATCTCTCTTTAAATAATTTTGAACCTATTAATAAAGATGGAGAATTTTCAAGCTTTATTAAAAATGCACATTTCATATGGGAATAGAAAACCAACAAACCACACCAATAGTTAAATATGATTCATTTAAGTCCCATGGTACAAAATAATTTTAAAAATGTGTAAAAAATTAAACAAGACCAGTTGGTTTATAAAGTCAACCATGCAAAACGTTTTTCTGCATTTATCGACAAGACTACTGACATATCGCGAATAGAACAGTTATCTTTACCTATACATTATATGGAGAATAATTTTGAAAAAAAAAAAATATTTATGTATTCAAAGAAGATTTCTTAAAATGTGTAACATTTTATGTCTACCACTGTTCAAAATTTTACAATCTTAGATAGGTACATTAAAAAATCTCGGTATAAATTGCGAATATTTACTTGGTCAATGTTATGATGGCGCAGCGGCCATGGGTGGTAATGTCAGACATGGAGTTTGTTATTAAAATACATCTTGCTGTATTTTATAACTACTGTAACCAGAGTTTAATGTGGTAAAAAGGGCAGGGATATTCTAATCCGTGTATCATTCTCAGCGTTATATATAGTCGTATACAATTACTAGGTAATTATAAAATAAATAGGTACATATAATGAATTTTTTTTAGTGAACAATTTCCTCCATATATTCCTCCACCTATTCATGAGCTGTCAAAATGTATAAACTTGTAAATTACTTATTTATTTTTTTAAATTACAGGTTTTAAATATGTTTTAATAAAATATGAAACAATTAAAAAAAAAAAACCGAACATATAAGTTTATACGAGTAGTATTACCATATAATTTATAATTTATTTTTAATATTAGTTAGTTTTGTTTGTAGAACACTGTTTAACACCTAAGTCATCTACTATATTGCAAAAGCAATTTTACAATTGTTTTATTGTGTACGATTATTTTTAACAAACAATTGAACGTTTCAGCAAACTTTTCGGAGAATTGTTAAAGGAGACGTTTTATAAACGCTGCGAGAGGTTGAGTGACTGGGTGTTGACCAGTTGCCCCCTACGCCTCTTATCGAGATTTTAAAAATGTACCAGTTGCCCTCACATGTTAATTTATAAGTACACGATTACAATGTATAGCTCGTAAAATAGGGAGGTAAATAAACAAATCATAAATAAAATATAAAATTATTTATAATAATAAATATACTTGGAAATTGGAATTATGGTATATAATATTGTATTTTTTAATAACTAATAAATAATAATAGCCTACTTAGTGTAAAGCAAGTATTTTACCAAAACGCGTAATTTTAGATGCGCCTGAGTGGATGATTATTATCAGTTATAATATATTTATTAGTATTTTTATGGTTATTAGAAATTATATGAAATTATTATTTATTATATTATTATTATTATTATCATTATCATTAAATGCTTTTAAAATCGGTTATCGAACATAAACATTTGCCGCGTAAAAATTTAACAAAAGTAACCATTCCTAATAATTTAAATTAGAAAGCTGTGGATGAAATTTCTAAACGCCCATTAAAATTAATACGAGAAGAAGTTCAATCAAATGTATGTGGTTTAACATTAAATAATGAAAACTCCATTCGCAAAAGCATTATTATATTGAATATGCCACTTATCATTATAATTAGATTATTTATTATGAATTTTACTCTACTAATTTTGTACTATTTTACTTTATTTTTAGATATAATTTTATATTTTATTTATAATTTTTATATTTACTTCTCCTATTTTACGAGTTATATATTGTAATCGTGTATATATTAACATGTAAGGGCAACTGGTACATTTTCTTCTAGGTAATTTGGGTGGAATTGGTATAAAATAAGGTACTTTTGGGGGCAACTGGTATATGTCCGAGTGATTAAGTCCCTAGCGTCCCCCCACTTTAAGCTCTGATGACAACGCAATATAAGAAGACCTAGAATTATTTAGAGACATCGAAATATCATCTAAATATTTACAATTATATGACATAAACTTGTATACAATATGAAAACAAAGTAGGTATATATTACATTTTTTAACTGTATTATTCACATAGCATAACTATACTTTAAATTAGAGATGTTCCGGGTACCCGGCAATTACTCGATGGCCGGGTACTCGATATCATATTTAAGACTCGGCTCTTATTCGGTACCCGGCGTAATATCTACATTTTTACCCGACATTACTCGGTACCCGGCGTAATACCTACATTTTTACTCGACTCATATCCAATGGCAAACGACAATCTATTTATAAATATAGTAATACCTATGATTAACATAATGGGAGAAATCTAAAATTGTAGGGTAATGAATTATAATTTATTTTGGTACTTATTAATTATTATATTACTTAGAATAACTGAACCGATTTACGATAGCCAGTTGATTATAAACAAATCATGTTTTTCTTCTATGAATTACAAAAATAAATCTCGTGTTTACCGTTTAATGTTTATATATAAATTATATGAACAAAACTGCACATAGCTATTGCCTAATATCTAAACAACTGGTATTAGTGTTACTTAATTTGTATTAGTGTTTGGCTAAGTCTTGTTATTAATTTATTATAATTGCAGAACTACCCAGTGGCCAGTACCAGTACTGACTACTGAGTGCTTAAACTGTTTAAAGACTTAAATTATATTATTAATAATTTTCAATCAGTAATTGTTAGTTGATACTTTAATACTAGTATAATTCCCACTTTGTATTTACACTTCTATTCGGCCTATACTCGATACCCGCTTAGTACTATAAATTTTACTCGGCCAATACTCGATACCCGGCTTAGTACCAGATTTTTTACTCAGAACATCTCTACTTTAAATTATATTAAAATATTTTAATTTTTTTCAATAGATTTGTGAAGTAAATATACATGAATGCCATACTTTGATACTAACCTATGCGTTCTTTATTAGCACATTTGATTTGATTTATTTTCCCAACTATAGGAATGTCATTATACTTTATATTATATTTTAGTGAGCTGGAAGAAAAAAATTTGGTTGATCATCTGCGTAACCAGTGCTATAGAATCTAAATATTTTGCCCAGGGTGAAACTATAAAATACGCCCTTATATATTTTTAATTTAAAAATATTATAATTATTAGATATTATTTTCATCAATTGCTTTAATTAATGTAAAGAACGTTAAAGTTTTTCAAATATAATACACAATATTGTTCATTGTAATTTTTAACGTAAAATGCAAATTTTTCATCTTTGTCCCCTCTCTGGGATTGCGCCAGGGATTTAAGCACCTCTCGCCACCACCTAGTTACAACACTACCAATTTGGTCATCATTTTTTCATTCTCGGTGATACGAGTTTGTGTACTTCCTCAAATTGGTTTCGAATCATTATGTAGAGTTGGTGAAACCCACCAAACTCTTCATTTTTTTTCATTTATTTTGTGCAACTATTTTCTCCTTTCCTTAATTTTTTTTCTACGCGAGGAGAAGAAGAAATTCTTCATCAGAACTACTGCTGAGTATCATATTTAAAATTTAGTAATTTTTGTCACCAAAATTTTAAAATACAGACCATGCTATACTTCCATAGTCCTACTCGACTAGTTCGACTTCCAAGTCTCGAGTTTGAGGATTAAAAATAAAAACTAAATAAAAACGTACTATTACCTATATTAAAAAAAAAAAAAAAAAAATCAAGTCCTTTTAAACTTTCTGTCAAATCAAAGCCAAAATTTTACCTTTTTTTTATATCAATTAAATTTATAATTTATTTATTAAAATTTATCTTGTTTTTATTTTTTAAATTTATTAATTTCATCTCTACAAGCCAGTTACTTAAATGATTAAATTTACTTAATTAATGAAAAGTCTTTAAAAATAATAATTATATAGGTATATTATTAATTGAAAATATGATTTATACCTATTTACATAGGTGAAAATAAAGCATTAAATTGATTTATAACTTATAATTATAAGGTTCCCATAAGCTGCAAATTTGTTAATCTTGTTTTCACAATTTTTAATTTAGAAAATTTTCTTTCTGTTGAAGCATCGGGATCAAGTAAAGTTAATACAATGAAGAATTGTTTAGAATAGGAAATATTTTAATTAGACCTCCAGCTAAAAATAAGTCATTAACAGTTGAAATACTCCATAAATAGTTTTTTTCTTTTAAATTGTAATGTTCAATATTTTTTTATATTGTAATTTGTAAAAATGCTGAGGAAGACATCATAATCGATTGCAACGACGTACCTCGATGTTACGGATATTTTCCTAGGATACACAACATACTTCTCTACAACTCTGGGGTTCAATCAAATCATCCATTTAAATTGCATCTTAACTTTTCAATCCAAATATCTTCACCAAGATCTCTCTTCAAAAATTGTTCAAAAATTTCCTAAAACATCTGTCTACGAAACCATTCAAACTTACTCGTATTCAATATTAACCTATTAGTTTCTACCATTTCCGATAATCGTACCAACTAGACACACCTAAGTACCACCAATAGGTACTTTTATTCAATAGTCAACATAGGCGCGAAAGAAGCTTTTGCTTCGGAGCTGTAAATTTATAGGGGCGGCTATGATGGCGTATAAGTTGCCATGTTAAAATGAATTATACTGAACAAATTATTTTTCTCAATGTTAATTTTTATTAGTGCTCTTAATACCCGGACACCCGGGTTTTACGACTATTACTCGATTTTCAAAATTTCGGGTACCCGTTATGGATTGGGTACCCATTATGAATCGGGTACCGGTTATGGTTTGTATACTCATAACTAGAGCTAGGATTTATATGTAAATACATATT